GATAAAACATTGATGAGAGAGAAACATCGATCAGCTGCATCCCACATGCCCCCTACTGGTACATGAGATGATGCCCAACCAATTGAGGAACACCAGCCAGGTGTTTTTTCAAAAAATTATTTATTGATTTTTTCTATTTTTAGAGAGAGGGAGAGGGGAGAAGGAGAAAAAGAGAGAAAGAGAGAGAGAGAAAAAGAGAGAAAGAGAGAGAGAAAGAGAGAGAGAGAGAGAGAGAGAGAGAGAGAGAGAAAGAAAGAAAGAAAGAAAGAAAGAAAGAAAGAAAGAAAGAAAGAGAAAGAAAGAGAGAGAAACATTGATTTGTTATTCCACTGATTTATAAATTCATTGGTTGCATCTTGTATGTGCCCTAACCGGGGACTGAACCCACAACTTTGGTGTATCAGGACGATGCTCCAATCAACTGAGCTACTAGGCCAGGGCCTCTATAGCACTTTCATAAACACCAGTGCTCAGCTTCCTCCCTTCCCCACGTACCACCATTTAAAGATTTCAATCTAACTGGTTTAGAGTGAGACTTATACATCAGTATTTTCTTAAAAAGCAGCTCAGCTATACTGAGTGAAGGTATTATTTTAAATATATTAGGTATGATAATAGCATTGTGGTTGTGTTTTTTAAAAGGAGTTCTTCATTGGTGGAAAAACTGGTGAAATTCAAATAAGGTCTTTGTTTAGTTAATAGTATTGTAGCAGTGTTAATTTCCTGGTTTTGATCATTGTATCTAGGATTCTGTAAGATGCTCACTTTAGAGCAGCGGTTCTCAACTTGTGGGTCGCAGCCCCTTTGGCGGTCAAACGACCCTTTCGCAGGGGTCGCCTAAGACCATCCTGCATATCAGATATTTACATGACGATTCATAACAGTAGCAACATTACAGTTATGAAGTAGCAACGAAAATAATTTTATGGTTGGGTCACAACATGAGGAACTGTATTTAAAGGGCCAGAAGGTTGAGAACCACTGCTTTAGAGGAAGCTGTGTGAGGGGTATACAGGAACTCTCTGAACTATAGTTGTGACTTTTCTCTAAGTCTAAAATTGATTCAGATTAAAACGTTTTTAAAAAAGAGTCTTTTACTTTTAAAGATACATAACTTAAACATTTATGAATGAAATGATATGCTTGAGATTTACTGCAAAATAGACCAGTTGAGGAGGTGACAGGGAGTGGGTAGGGTATGGGTGGAACAGGAGTGTTGACAAGTTCATGCCTGTAGTAGGTGGGCACTGAGTACATGATGGTTCACAGTATTTATCTACTTCAGGGTGTGTGTAAAACTTTCCATCATATATACTGAAGGGAAAAATTCCCAGGTGATTCTGACACATATTCGGGGCCAAGAAACACTGTTCCGAGTCTTGAAAATGTATAATGAGAAGCTCTGTTTGTACTACCAGCTACAAACTACTTTACCCAGCTCTTTAAAAATGAGCTGTCAATCTTTCTTACTACACTTTCCTAAACTACAGAATGACAGATATGGATCAGAGGATCTTTCAAAAAGAAAACAAGAAGCATTAAAAGTTGTATTTTTCTAAAGTCGTCTCTCTGAAAGTTAATGTCACAGTTAATTTCTAAGACAATAGTAAAAAATGGTAAAGTCTTTCTTATGTGTACAAGAGCATTTCCAAAGAAGTTTCTTTAAAAATGCTACTTCTATAAGATGTTAATAGATGTTACCTAATATAAGGGTTCTGAGATTAAAAAAAAAAAGTTTGAATAGTGCTGGTTTATTGTAAGATTCCTAAGAACTTTTAGCAAGAGAATATGCATTGTGACTTTCCAAGGTGGTGATGGAATATGCAAAAAATTTGATCTTCCTTACATGAATTAGTGCTATAGAACTTATTTTGGAAAACAGTCCTGTAGATCAGTGATCTCCAATTCCCAGGTAATGGAGAATGGCTGCAGAATCACTTGGTAAACTTATTAAAGTAATGATTCACAAACCATAACCTAGACTATTACGGGGACAAGAGAACTCAGTATTAAAACAAACAAAAACCCAAGTGATTCTAATGCAGTCATGTTTGGGATTGGAAGCTATCCTATCTAATAAAAGAGTAATATACAAATTAACCATCACTTCGCAATAAAGATGGCAGCGCCCACAGCCAATAAGGAGGGAATATGCAAATTGACATGACAAAGATGGTGGCGCTGGCCGGAACCATGGAGCCGGCCAGAGAGCAGGCAGGAAGACTTGGCTTCCTGGTAAGCCGGCAGGAGAACGGGAGGGAAGGCTTGGCATCCTGGGTCACCCCAGTGACCAAGGAATGGGGCTAGGGGCAATCAGGCCAGGAGGGGAGGGCAGTTGGGGGTGATCAGGCCGGCAGGGGGGGCCAGTTGGGGACAAGCAGGCCGGCAGGGGGGGGGGGCAGTTGGGGGTGAGCAGGCCAGCAAGAGGGGCAGTTTGGGGGAAGCATGCCAGCAGGGGGGGCAGTTGGGGAAAA